TATATATATATATATAAAATTTTGGTTAAAGTATCAATTAGCTTGATACTAAAACACCAGGAAGACCTGTGGAACCAAAGATGTCAATACAAGGAACTTCAAATTCAAAATATTAGGCAGTGGAAGAGATCAAATAAATAAATACGAACTAATGAAAGATTTGATTGCAATTAAATCAAATTACATAGTACCTCGGGTGTTGAACATGCACACATTGCTGTTTGTTTTTCTGTCTTATTTATTGTTTGGACATTTAATAATCATTGAAAAAGAAAAAACTCCAGTATGTTCATCAGCGGATAGAGGTGTACATATTACTGATATTACCTGCAAATTTCAGTTGATCAGATGGAAAAAACTGATTGTTGCGCAACCAGTGACCCCGGCTACATTTGGTGTCATATGTTAGACAACTTATGAAAGGATTAAGATTCTTTAACACAATAGGTTCTAAACATGTGTCAAATCCACACTAGTTAATTGCACTTTCTAAAGCACAGACAGATCATGTGCCTCGTAAATAAAACATCCTTTTGACTGGAAGTACCTCGACCAAGTTGCCCTCGATTGTGCCATCCACCATCAATTGTTTTCTGTCTCAAGGTCAAACAGGAATTTTTGTCTCGCTAACCATGCAATTCCTGTTTCCCGAAGAAATTCCACGAGTTTTTCAACCTGAATGAGTCTGGAGATCCCAACAAGGACACGTGTGGCATCCTAACTGTGGAGGGCCGCACCTTCCCAGTGGATATTTTCTACACGATCAGGTAATGACACTGTACAATCCTCAGACTTGACTCTTCATACTGAAGTCTCTCTATGTGGTGCCCAGTCCTGTACCCGACTATGTGAAAGCCACAGTGGAGACGGTGGTGAAAATACACGAGGCGGATGATACTGGAGATGTGTTGGTGTTCCTTACCGGGCAGGTTTGAGGCTTTGTTTCTTAATTCCACTCACAACGATACTTCGGCGTACACATTGGGTATTTAACCAAACCACATGAACTCCGTTTGGATAAATTCACTTGCTTCATGCTCACGCACAACGCAAAACGCCATAGACAGGTGAACGTAACTAATAATAATAATAATAATGCATTTTATTCGTGTCTTTCGTTGCGGTAATTCTAAATCCTTGAACAACTTTTGTTTGAACTTAAGTGGTAACAGCACATGCAGACATCTACAAAAAAACCCTGACTAATATTATTGCACCTTCTTTCCAGTAGTTTTCTTCTGTATACATATTATGTATAAAAATAAAAATTTTATGTTTGTATTTATTATACTGCCACCCTGTGGTCAAGGTGCACACACCATAATGAACCGTACAACGGCCACTGAATTATATCGATGCACGGACTGTTTAATAGTTTACATTGTATTTAATTATGATATTACTGTATGTTTTTATAAGTGAGCAGTCATTCTCAAAGTACCACTCGTAGCATGCAAGCTCACGCTAGTGGTCCACAAAAGAATCACTGCTCAAGTACAGTTCAGTTGTAGTTAACGCTGAGTCTAGTTTATATTTTGGCTTTTACACACAGTGCCCCCCCAACATATTGCCATTGTCATGCTTTGGGTACGTTCTCTTAGGAAGAAGTGGAGAAGGCGGTTTCCCTTCTGCAGGACCAGGCCCGGTCTCTGTCACGACACGGCATGAAGAAACACCTGAGAATTTTGCCAATGTATTCCGGTTTACCTTACGCCGAGCAGATGAAGGTCTTTGAGCGGGTGCCGGCCACGGTTCGCAAAGTAAATATGCTGCAAAACACTGCAAGTTTGTGCATGGATGCAATAATTGGTTGATTTCTTTGCTTGTAGTATTACAGAACATGCTGTAGTTCTGAATGTCTTTTACTTCTTGAATATGTTTTGCTTTCTCCAGGTTGTGGTGGCCACGAACATAGCCGAGACATCCATCACCATCAACGGTATCGTTTATGTCATCGACTGTGCTTTTGTGAAGCTACGCGCGTATAACCCTAACACTGCCATTGAGTCACTGGTGGTGACGCCGATCTCCAAGGCTTCAGCCAGCCAGAGGGCAGGCAGAGCTGGCCGGAACCGACCTGGGAAATGCTTCAGGCTCTACACGGGTGTGTCTTTACAGGAAAAGAAGAATGTGTAGTTCGTCGTCTTAGGTCATGCGTTGATAACATGCTTCTTTTCATCAGAGGAGGACTTTGAGAAACTGCCTGCCTCTACTGTGCCAGAGATGCAGCGCACCAACTTGGCCCCAGTCATTTTGCAGCTCAAAGCTTTGGGCATTGACAATGTTCTGCGCTTCAGTTTCCTGTCGGTGAGTAGAAAACCAAAGTTGCTCCACCAGGAATCGGAATCATTTGATTTCAAACATAAAAGACATGAGAACCTTCTCGTAAGCGTTTTACAAATTGTAAGATTCCAAATACTGTTTATCAGTTACTCTTTTTTTCTTTTTTTAAAATTCTATGTGGTTAAACCACGGTTCATACTCACGTTGACACCTTTTTGGCAACTTGGTGCCAACCTAACTTGGGCGAGGAACCAAAAATGCACACAGAAATACCCAAGCTGAGATTTGGAACCACAAACTTTTAACTTTAAATAATTAAGAATAATAAGAAATCGTAATACCGTATAAACACGTACATCGAAATGCAGTTTTCTTTTGCAAATTGTGAAATATAGTTGTATTCGGTAACTGCATAAAACCATGTCTTTTAAGGCCTTTAGTAAAACAAGTACCGGGAAGCTAATGTAAATGCGTAAATCGCCAGCATTGTGAGGTGTAGAAAAAGCTTAAAAACATTCTCCCGAAAGTCATTGGCCTTTTTTCGACTATTGAATTGACCATGCCATCTACTTAGCCTTTTTTGTTTTTTTTCTTTTTTTGTGCCCAGCCTCCTCCAGCTCAGAGTATGGTTCAGGCTCTGGAGCTGCTTTTTGCTCTCGGAGGTATGAGACCGACGTGCACTGGGAAGCCCGCATGCCTCGTGTTTACTGTGCACTTGATCTCATTCTGTGGCAGCGAGCATATGAAAATATCCGGAGTCCTTTTCATTCTTTGTTTATAGGCCTGGACAATTACGGACGTTTGACCGATCCCATGGGTGTGCGGATGGCGGAATTCCCTCTCAGCCCCATGTTTGCCAAGATGCTCCTCGACTCGGGAAACTTTGGCTGCTCCAAGGAGATTGTCACCATTGCGGCCATGATGCAGATTCAGAATATCTTTGTTGTCCCGCCCAATCAAAAGAAAGCCGCCGTGAGGAAAATAACAATGATAGCATCGGTGATCACGACTGACGAAGGAGTTTCAGTCATCAAGCCTTTTCTGTCACCTCCCGCTGCAGGCCCGTCAGCACAGGAAATTTGCTGTTGCCGAAGGAGATCACCTCACCATGCTGAATGTGTACGAAGCTTTCACGAAGGTACACCGAGCATACATTTCCTGGTTGTGTAGTTGGCAGGTCAGGAAGTCTGGAATGTTTCGCTTTCTATTTTTCCTTGTGTATTCTGCAGCATCAGAAGAGCTCCAAGTGGTGTCAGGATCATTTTCTCAATTACAAAGGTCTGCAGCGTGCCGTGACGGTACGAGAGCAGCTGCGGCGCCTCATGACCAAGTTCAAGGTGGTGTGGACTTCCAGCGAAGGTACGTCAAGTTTATTGCATTAACTCTTTTTAATACAGTATTTTCAAACATAGCTCTCCTCGAGCCCCACCTCCATGCTCGCCTCATTCTGCCACATGTTTCATTGTCAGTTTTTTGCTGCATTGCAGGTGATCCGGATGTGATCTTGAGGTGCATCGTGTCGGGATTTTTTGCCAACGCAGCGCGCGTTCACCACTCTGGTTCTTACCAGTAAGCACCCTTGTTTTCCTTTCTTGTCTGTATTTCTGACTGTCCACCATGGTGCTCTGCCTGTAGCAGTTTTTCCTAATCTTTTTTTTTTTCTTTTTCGGACTAATGAAGTGAAATCGATGTTGCACAGCACATTATCGCACCGTGGTTATGTATTACAGAATTAGTTTTTGGCCCCAATATTTTCTTCTCTTCCAGGACTTTACGAGACGATCGTGAGCTTCACATCCACCCTAATTCTGTACTGTATGGAGAGAAGCCGCCAAAATGGTTAGTACGTTTTTGTTGATGTCACAAATAGTGTCTTGTACCATATTGTTTTTTTTTTCTCCATTTTTCTCTTGATTTTACTTCCATGAAATGTATGTTTTTATAGCAACACTCTCCAACGACAGGGTTGTCTTCAATGAAGTGCTGCAAACAAGCAAATACTTCATGCGAGATGTGACAGCAGTGGAGTCGTCCTGGCTCGTTGAGTTGGCTCCTCACTTCTACAAGCAAGCTAAAGTAAGTCAAACTTGGAAAATGCTTTGATTTATTTAAGAAAGGTGTGCTTGTATTGGAAAATATAATTTGTTGTTCAGTGGTGCCTTGACATTCATGTACAGTTTGTCTTGTGACCATGCTTAGAACTCAAAGCACTTTTATCCCAAATCTAAATAACCTATTGGAATGAATGGAAAAGCCATTAATCCGTTCCAGCCACCCCAAAGCCCCAATTATTGGTGTTTATTTTATTTTTTTAACACAGAGAAAGAGCACCAGACCCTATTGTACTTTGTAGAACCTTGATGGATAGAATTTTGCAGTTTTTCATTTCTCATCAGATCAGGCTGTAATTTGTTGTGATGATGTCTTTTCATTTTGCAGGTGAAACCTTGGTGGACATCTGCCACTCATTGTTATTTTAGTTCAGGGTTTCAAACTATTTTTTGTCGCGGGCCACATTGTACAAAGTAGTTCCAGTTTCTCCTCAAAGAACCGTTATGACTGTGAAACAATATGAATGTTTAATCACCTCATATTATTACATATACAGTACACAACTCGATGGATAACTCGTTCTCAAATCAAGATTAAAAGTGTATTCAACTATTATTCAAGTTACTGTAATACTGTAACAAGAAAAGGATGGTAAGATTGAGCAAACATGATGGAAGTTGACATACTTGATTTGCTTTTGCGGGCCACATAAAATGTGGCGGGCCAGATCTGGCCTCGAGGCTACGAGTTTGACACCAGTGTTTTAATTGGTCTTGCTTTCCTAACCTGCTAAGAGAATTACTGTTGTCCCCTTTCTCTTTCAGCATGGCTCACTTGGCAGCAAGCGTTCCCGCATCCTCTGAACCCGTTCATCTTTTCCACCCTCTCCGTGTAAATAAAGATGTCATATTTATTGATCATGTCCACATGCGCAACAGTGACCATGCTCGATAGCTCTCGCTTTGGGATAGTTATCTCCTTTGTATTAGATCTGTGTGAGCGCGATTGCTGATGAATGTGAGATGAGGTCATACTTTGTACATAGTCAGAGAAGGCTCAGGTCCGGGGATTGCTTGCAGTCGTACCTGGTTCTTGGCTTTATTTTTGTAGCAGTTGTATTCGTTGAATACTGGGTGATGAATAATGGGGGGGGGAAAATTAATTTTTGAGGATGTCTCCCATTTTGACACTGTTTTCTTCTTCAATTCATTTGCTCTCATAACCTAGGTGCCTTTAGGAAAGTGACTAGTAAATTGACCTCTGATTTATTTTCATTTCTTAAAATGGTCTCGTGATGACACTGTGAGAAGAGCGTCTTTACCTTTTGTGCAAACGTCCTACCTGAAGTCCAGAATGTGCTGCCTTTTCACCGGTTAGTGCCAATTTCCTTTTATCAGCCTATTTCTCATTTCATTACTCAATGGATTGTGTAAAGACACAATGAGCATTGGAAGTGGGAAACTGAAAACCAAGCAAAGTGCTGTTTGTCAGTGTGGCGACTGAACGTGTAGTTAAATGCACTCGTATGTAGCCTAAAGCCTCAAAAGAACTAGCATTTATGAAACCTTTTCATTTTTGGTTTGCCACCAGAATCTCCACAACACTTAATGATTCGATAATCCGACTTGCCATCGTGGTTAGTGCCATAACTAGTTACTAGTGCATGTGCACTTAAAAAATGCTTTTGTCTTCAGATGTTTCTCCATTTGCAGCTGAAATGTCAACGAACAGTCTATTAGAAGTTTGCCATGATATTACTAGAAGACGCTATTAATCCAGGGCATTCAAAACTTTAGACACATGCATGATTTATTGTAGTTCAGTAAAACGAATCTCAGCCCAAGAAGCACAGCGTACAGTAAACCAAACGTTGCATGTTAAATGGGCTCGTGCATATTCATCGAGTTATCGCCCTTATAAATAATTGTCACTTGCTGCTTCCTCAAATAAAACCTCAATAGGATCAAGCATGGTGTCAGTTTTTTTTATTGAAATGTATGGCCACTGGATGTCGCCGTTCGTCCACAAACACAAATTGCCGACACATTCTGGGGGGAAGACAGGCTCCAGCACGCGTTTGTAGAACTGTCGTTATTATTATAATAACTTTGTATAGTTTTCATGAATCGCAAACAAATGGTTGACAAAGTCACATGACAGACCAAGAAAAGGGTCAAAATTAGGTAGCCCCAAGCCATATGGGTCACATGATACACATATAAAATAGGCCTGCTACATTTGAATTACAAAAAGTAGTTTATTACATGTGTGTACAATACAATTTTAGAAATAAAGATCATATCTCCGCACTGCATAAATGCACAATTGAGAAGGCGTTAGTGTTCTAGCAATCTCCACTAGAGGGCAGACTGAACTAATTACTTTTTAAAAATCTTCAATATCATAACGCTGGGTCAAATTTTTAAATGACAATATAGGTTCCAAAAATCTGGATACACGTGATGGCTTCGTGGTGTATGGCTGACTTAACTCCCTCACCTTGCTGGCTTGTAAAGTTTGCTAAACAATTTACGTTTTTTCCCCCGGATTTTAACAAGGCTGTGCTTATAGTAAATGGTGAAGTTTAGTTTTAGTAGTTTGTTATAAATACAATGCATAAAAGGAAACTTTTCACAGGAGTGAGAGATTTTTTCCCCCCAGAAATGCATGTGACATTGCTGCATGGTTGAAGCTGTAAAGTGAATTGAGTGATTTGTTTCTGAAATGCATTATTTACACATGCATATACAGATGCACATGTTACGTCATACACAAAAAGGAGAGAGAGCAAATAGTGGTGGAATTTAAAAAAAAAAAAAACAGTAAATAAATGTCTGACCTGACTGTCAGCGTGTGGATTGGGGCTTCGAGCTTGTGTGGCCACTTTAGAACGCCTGGTTGTCTGCGGTGAGTGCATGCGTAATACAGTGAGAAAGATGGAAGAGCGAGAAGGGGGTATTTTAGTACATTTTTTTAAAAAGTCAGACTTGACTTCCGTCAGCCTGGCGTGGCCGCTTCAGAGTGCCTCGTTGCTGCTTTGTAGAAAAAAAGCCTTCTGGTGATTTAATGGGATATACTGAATTGCGGTCTCTGGAGGCATGAAGAGAATATGTTTTAAATGTGTGGGCCAAACACAAAAGTAATGAATAAATGGAAGGAGTATCTATATGCTCAAGTTTTTTATAGACAGTTGAAAATTGAGGGGGGGCATGCTCATCGCATTTGAGTGTTGAGTGACTGGACTAATGTATTTTCCATGATTTGGAAGCCTCCTTTTCTATACTTGTCATTTTTCTATCGTTCTAATTTGACAGCATTTTACTCTGTCGTGTGTCAATTCACTTCGCAGGGAATTTAATCTTCTAGTGTGGTAAGTGAGAATGATTGTCTGTTTTTGAACTCTATTCTTGCAGTCCCATGGGGTTTTTTTTTCTTTACAGAGGCATCGTAATTCTTGTGACTGTTTTTGTCTCAGTGCTGAGAAAACGGATGAGTCTGCATCCAACATAGCCAAACAAAGCACCAGCAAAAAAAGGCAGATCCAGCTACATTTCTGTTTTTCATCTGCTGACCTCTGTTACCCATCAAGTTGTGTAATCGCCAACATTAAATAACATCCAGAGGTATTAATGGCGAGCATGTGACTCGGATGAGGCAGCAGGTGGATTCGGGGTGATTGTGTGATTGAATGTTGGGACGTGACATAACAATTAAAATGTTTTTTTTTTTTTTTTCTGGCAAGACCAATGTCACCAGCTGGAATAAAGAGTGGTGTTATGACATATGAAAGGCTTCAAAAAGCGTGCAAAAATGGTGGTAACTTTCTTCGTTGTAACAATGGAATGGCCTGTGACTGAACGTCTGTGTGAAGCGGTGTGCGGCTGTTGAGCGTCAAGTAAGAGCCAAGAGAAGGATTTTGAGTCAAGCATCGCGAACAATTGTGTGTCATAAAAGCCATTTCTGCAGTGCGAACCCCATCGCCTGTTTGTTTGGCTACCGGAGATTCCCAAACCATCCGTGGCAACGGATGGCAATCGCTTATCCCGATGCAAGGCTCCTCTGTGTCACTCCTCCATTCAAGGTTAGGCGAGATAAATTTTGGCAACGTATCATGTTTTCTGACAACGGACAAATTGGATGTACCTTCGTCTGCATGTCCCCTAAAACACCCAAAATTGGCCAGCATCGATATAAATATTCCAGTCAAAGATGAGTTATCCCGCCGTGCGTGCGATAAAAATCGAAATACTGCATGAAAATCATCAAATCGATTCGACCATAGAAGAGATTCTACTGCACATTTTACTTAAAAATGGATGTAGGAAAACATCTGAGTATTTTTAACAAGCCACACCTTATATTTCTGATATGCGCTTCATGATCACATAAAAATGTCTTCATGAAAAACGGTGGAAACGAGTCAGTTGTCACACACCTATTTGAATATTGCTCTCACGTTTTCACTTCATTGACTTGCTTCCGTCAAAGAATTGTTTGAAATAAACCGTATGTATTTCTCTGTATGCGGTATTTAGCTGTTTGAAGCGCTTTCTTGCATCTTTTGAACCCTTGGATGTGTTTAAGGGCTCTCTTGTCATTTTGTTGTTGATTGTGGGACGGCGCGGCATGGCTCAGTGGTAGAGAGGTTGTTTCCCAACCCAGAGGTTGATGGTTTAATCTCTGGCCATTGTGACCATGTTGAAGTAAGCAAGATACTGAGCCTCCAGTTGCTCCTGATGCTACGTCATCGGTCGGTGAATGAGATTACAGTGTGGAGTGTTTTGAGTATCTGAGGTAGAAAAACAAGTGACAGCCCTTTTATCATTGCGACACCAACAGCATGTTGCAATGTCGATTAACATCAGTTTGTTGTGTTTTTAGTCTGCTTCTGCAAGCGATATTTTTACATCACCCACCTTTTGTTGTTAACGGCAGTTAGAATGCAATGGTAAATACTGCAAAATTCATTTAAGGGTTGTGGTGTTCAAACTATGGCCCAGTGAGCCTTTGTGACCATTTTGTAGTACTTAGCGTTCTACAATGGGTGGCAAGGCAGGAGAAAAGAAGAGGAGGGAGAAGAAGAAACTGATTATCCTCCCTCACTTCCTTGGTTTCTACCAATCACCCATCACTGCAACGGTGGCATTTCTATTCAAAATGCCTGGATGAATAAGGATTTTTCAGTTGGAGCAATGAATTTACTCCACTTTCTGTTCCGCGTCGAGGTCAGCCTAATAGTACAGATTGCTCCTGTTTTGGTTCAGAATGTGGAAAATGCTTCTGCTCAGTACAGGGGCTTGTATAGATGGCCAACCCCCAAAATCCATCAAGGAAAAAAAACGTAAAACATCTCTCTCTCTCTCTCTCTCTCTCTCTCTCTCTCGCTATCTCTCTCTTTACTGCTCATCTTTTATATACAACGCTGACTTGGTTTTGACGTGTTAAGTCATACATGTAAAAGTGGCTCTTGCATCCCTAGTTTTTTTGGTATGAGGTCTTTGGTTTAGACAACCCTGTACGACAAAGACAATTGATGCGAATGCTCAGCGTTCACTGATATTACAGCCCTGTTTTGGAAAATGGGACGATAAGGCAGGAAATATGCTGAAATTCCCCAAATCTCGATGCATGTTCTCAAACAACGGAATCTTTGAGTTTCTTCAGAGATGCGTATGCGATAGCAACAGTAGCCTGGGACTCACACGGGCCTCCACGGGTGACAAATTGGAAGTGTCTCGGTCTAGTTTATAGCCGTGATCAGGTCAAACGAAAAATATTGGAGGTCTGTGTGAGGAGACAGGCCCGCCTGGTGCAGATAAATGGACTGATCATTTCTTATTGAGAAACAATTCCTAAAAGGTAGTTTACTGTGTGACTGGGGAAGCGGCGAGCTGAGAGCAGAACCCGCAGCCACTGCTCCCTCCCTGACCCTTCCTCCACTGCCGGAATTAAATGGATAGAGAGAACGCGTGTTTCTGATGGCACTCCTCTGCCGGAGAGACACTCCATTTGTTATGAAGTAGGGCTTCTGATGAAGTGTAGAGAGCTCCTCTTTCTTTTTTCTCCCCGCCTCCCCCTCCCCATCCTTCCTTTCTCAGGCACTACAAGGCCGGCCTTCAGTCTGCTTCGCGTGAAATGGATGGAAGGAGACGATTGAATTTTACACTCCCCTGGTCATGATTAATGTGTTTGGTGTGGAGCGTCTCGGCAGTTAATCGCCTCTACCGCTAGCTGGTGCTCAAAGCCCTCCATTGTTTGCATTGTGAGAACTGTGCAGAAGGATGAGTGGGTCGGGAGGTTCGCTCC